ATGGGATAGGCAGGGAAAGATAAAGTCTGTGGAAAAGGAGAATGATCTAAAGAATATGGTTATGACAAATGCTGGTGTGACACGAAAATACCAGGAAAATGAATGCTACAGTGCTTAAGAAATTTGGCACAAATACTGTTTGGATTAAAGCAAAAAACAGATGAGCAGTAACACCTGAAGTGGCTCTGAAAGTCTTCTAGCTCACAGAAAGACATCCATTACACTTCCAGAAGAATACATTTTTCAAACCCCTGCTGTGAGATGTTTTAAAAGAAAAGACATCATTCTTACAGCAGAGATGCCCTCGCCAGCACTTTGACAAAGGGTGACCCAGCATTTGTTTCTCCTCAGGAATTGCCTTTATCCCCTCCCTGGGGAACACACTTTGACTTCCAAGGAAATTTCTCTAGCGCTGCTATCATGGCTCATCATCTCTTGGAAGGAAACACAAATTGCTGACAGGAGTCGATGCTGGCAAAAATCCATCCTGACTCATGATGGCAAGAGCACAATAGGTTTTGGGCATTTTTTATGCAGCAGAGCCCCTCTCCTTTGCTGTAGCACAGCAGAGTATCCCACAAACATGGCCTGCCTTCACAGTTTAGGTAGCTCATGTTAAAAACAGCACTCTCATTTTATCATGTCCCCCAGATCCACATTTTCTATACAGCTCCAGATTACATGATTGGGGGCGAAGTGTTATCATAATCACATCAGGAGACTTTGGAATTGCAAATCTCACAGTTTGGCAGCACTGAAATCAGAGTCTGATAAACAGTCAGCTTGGCCCAAAGTACAAGGCACACAAGTAAGATGAATCCCAAGACTAAGAAGCAAAGCAATGACACGAGGATTCTCAGAAGCAGAAGAATTTAACTTGAAGCAGGGATACAAGGTCTCCTCTTCCACTTAATCCACCCATTCATGCTCAAATTAATTTAGTACATTTTCCAATCAGATTACCCTATTTGCCAAATATCACACAAAAGCTGCCTGGTAGGGCACACAGCAGACACAGTCCCAATTCTTTGTTCTTTCTGATTGAAGGTCTTTGATATTAAAATTTCAAAATGTATTTTCCGTGAAGCTGTTTGCCTGTAATTTAAAGACACAAATAACTGTCAGAGCATTCGTAAGTAGAGGTTTTCTCTTGAAGCGTCAGTGGATGTTGGATCATTCTTTGTTCAAGATGAGGAACATAAAAGCATTACCATTAGGAGACTTTCCACATGCTTAAAGAAGCACATGCCTATCAGGAGCATGGAGGGAACCTTTCAAGCTTACCACTGAAATCCAAACAGATCCAAAGCTGGCCACATATTAAAAAAGACCACAACACTCAATAACATGGTCAAGGGCTAATCCCTTCCTGGGCAGGCAGTACACTGGAACACTCATCGCCTAGAGCATCAAATAAGGAAGTTTATTAATTTTTGTATACTGCTGTACCATTGCAAATACTTCTTAAAGTAACAAACTAACAAACATGCTTAAGTTCTCAATAAAATAGATCTCCTGTGGCTCACACAGGTATACAGTTGGCAGTCCACTACACATAAGCCAAAGGCACTGCAATCTTTCATGTTTAATTACTCATTATACCTGATTGAATATAAGACCACAGAAAGGTAACTGCATTTTAAATGAAATGAATGTGAGGAAAAAAAACCCAACCCTCTACACAATTCCACTAGAATCTGACCTCACACATTATATTAGGTCATCAGCCTGGAAAGACTTTCCACTTTTTTTGTGCTACAGTCACAATTGCCCACTGAGCATGTGTAAAGACTATGGCAAACAATACTTTGATCCACAGTGACCACCTTATCAAGAAATCTAACTGAATTTAGTCCCAAAAATCCATTCAGATGGGGAGAGAAGGAGCAAGACTGAAAAGAAACTCCATGATGTTACTCCTCCTGTTTAACCACAACCAATACAACCACAGCTCCAGCACAGACATGGATGTTTTAAAGCATAACCTAACAGAACTGAGCAACCAACACATCAAAGTACAGGGAGGCAGGATCCATCCCACAGGAAAAGTATCTTTTTCAAAATTAATGAAGCCAAATTCATAATACACTTATTCTAATACATGCTTATTTTAGTACCTGGAACAAGGCAGTGCCTGGAAGTAAACAATATTGCATCTAATGTTTGCTGCTACACTGAGGACTGGGTCAGGATATTGATCTGTTATTGGGTTTCGCACCTCATTACAGAGGCTTATTTATGGCTTTTAAAAGCGCAGTCACAGAAACAGAGGCTGAGCCATGTGTATTGGTATCAGTAAAAAACCTCCCCTTGATTTCCACGGGCATTCAACCAAGCTCAAGAACGACAGAGACCGCAGCTGTTCACTGTGCAATTTTCTCCTGACTTCAGCCCTGGTTTTAGCTCCCTACTTCCATCTGCTTTATTTCATACCTTCCATCTCACAACTTCCTTGTTTTTCTCTCTATAACCCACAATAGCATCAAAGCACATGTGCCAGAGTTTTGCTATACTGCGGCCAAAAGGCACAGCATTTTGAAGTACTGAACCCCAAAATGATCAAGATAAAAACCACATGATCGAGATGAAAATGTGGACAACTCCAGTCATCTGGATTTGAGGAGTTCCTTCTTTGTAATTACTTTTCTCACCATTCTCAACAGCAATGTTATAGCAAACATATGAAGAGTAATGAACCACAATGTGAGGACACTAACTGTTTTATAGTATTGAAGATACAGATGTGTTCCAAGCTAGGCTTGTTTTTCAAAGTACTGCCTTTCCCTAAAAAAAAAAAAAAAAAAAAGAACTGCTAAAAAAAAGGAAGAAAAATACTTTAAATAATAAGATAAATAACTTTTTTGAAGTACCAGCTTGTTCTTTGTGTGTTTTTGTTACATTCTTTTGCTTAAAATCTCTCCCATGCCCACTCTCCTCCTTCATTACTTACACAAGTGGTCCTAATGATTTTAGGGGGAATACTCACGTGAAACAAAACGTAACACGTATGTTTTAACCAAAAAAGACCTGGGACACACATGGGAAAAAGTTCAGCTGTAGCACCAATCTGCTTCTGCACTTCACGACAGGAAAGAGAGAGAACAAGGAAACAAAGGGCACACTGTTCTTAAGCTGACGTTGGCACACACCTAATAAATACAGCCAACTGCAAAGGATGTTCAAAGCCATTTATAAAGCTGAACATGAATAGGAAGCATTTACATCAAATTACTGCCCACCTGATACACATCTGTTTAACTGTCAAAATTTAGGTCTGTTTGCAATTTTGACGTGTAAGCTTCATAACACAAATGACATTGTGTCATGATGAATTTAACAAAACTAAAGGACGTGCCTGCACAGTCAAGCCAACAAAAGCTATTCCCTTTCCCTCTTAGACAAACAACTGGACTATATTCAAACTGTGCTGCAAACATAGTAACCAAGATACTGACATAGGCTTATTACCAAAAGGAGACAGACGCTTTCACAAGCCACCACTGTTCATGAGTCAGATTTTTTTCAATGTCGAGTCAGATTTTTTCAATCTCTTGTTGAGTTTCTGTCTGGCTTTAGGTTAAGTTACGGATTGCTTCTGCAAATTTTCAACCAACCGGTTTTTTTTCATTATTCCCTCTCCACAGAAAGCAAGTATGTAGCAAGGAAGGCATCATGAACCAGGCAACAAAGATCTGTATAAAGTTACACAGAGTTTTTTGTTCTGTCTGAAATGGAGCAGTCCAATAAAACTAATCCATGTCATTTACCCTTCCAGTCCAAAAAGAAAAAAGCAATCAATTCCAGTTGTGCACTGCAAGGAGCAGATTAAGTAACTGAAAGCTCCTCTGAAGAAACTTTTCACCTCACAATCCCAACACATGTTTGAAAGTGGCTAGAACCAAATTATTGGTGCAGATAAGGATTTACGGTGCGCTAGAGTGACCAGGAGACTGGTACGGTAAGAATTTGCCAATTATTTGAGACACGCTCCTGTAAAACAACAAACTGCACATTCAACTTCATTGTTACAAAAGTTACACAGAAACTAACGTGCTTTTATTAGCTCCTGTGTACCTCCCAGCCAAGACTGGATGCAACTTGACAGCCTCTCCGGATATATTCATGCCCATATGTTTTTGTAACCACCTCCTAACTAGCTGCCAGGCCCTTAAACTCAGATTGCTCGTTTTCCAGCTTAAATTACAACTTTCAAATGAAGCAGAACAGGTCTGTATTTTTTACGGCCAACATTTTCATACTAGTTTTCAGCACCTGAGGATTCAGGCGGGTCACTGCAAACCACCAAGACGTGTCCTTGTCAAACGGAAGGAGCTGGGTAGTGACAGAGCCGTCCGTGGTCCATCAGGCGTTGAGCCCAAACCGAGCTACCCCCCAGCTGTCTTCATTTCACGGGCACGGAGGGAAAAAAAAGCCCTGCGGGGCTCAGTTCAGCGAGCTGCTCGGCCCCAGAGCCGGACCTTGGCAGGGCGCTAACCTGGGGGCAGAGGCGGTGCTGCTCTGCCTCCACGGGGAACGGGAAGACGCGGGGGGGAAGGAAGATGCTGGGGACCGGTCAAGGGATAGCGGGGCGGGGGGAGAAAAGTGTCATTTGCGGAGCTCGGCATTCCCCGCGTTTCCCCCCCCGCCTCGACTTTCCCAGGTGGGTGTCGGGCAGAGCAGGCGGGAGGATGCCAAGCAAGCAAATGTGAGAGCTGGGAGCCCTCCGCTGCGGGCAGCAGAGGCGGGGGGGGGGCTCCGCACACCTACCGGGAGAGGGGCTCAGGACGACCGCCGCCGGCGCGGCCGTTCCCCGGCAGGTATTGCATCAGCGGCGGCGGATGCCAGGAGGGCCGCTCCCCCTCGGGCGGGCGGCGGGGGACGGATGGCCTCCTGCGGGCAGGCCCAGCCCCGGCGCTGCCGCAGCCCCGCTCCCACCGGGGCGGCCGCCCCTCCCGCTGCCCGCGGGGGACGGTGTGGGCGGCGTCGGGCCCGGGCCTTACCTGGGGATGTACCTCGCCTCGTCCCCGAGCCGCACCTCGAAGTCCCGCCAGGGCTGCTCTATCCCCGCGGCGGTCCACGCCGCCGCCGCCTCCTCCTCCTCCTCCTCCTCCTCCTTCTCGTCCCCCTCCGTCTCGCCGCCGCCGGGCCGCCGTCGGGTGGCGCCGCGGAAGCCGCGGGCAAACTCCGGGAAGGTGATGGCCCCGTCGTGGTCGCTGTCGAGGCGCTGGAAGATCGCCTCGGCCTCGGCCGGCCGCACCCGCAGCTCGGCGCAGAGCGCCGCGAAGTCCTCCCGCTCGATGCGGCCCGAGCCGCTGGCGTCGCAGGCCACGAAGAGGGCGCGCAGGCGGGACAGCTCGTCCCCCGCCGTCTCGGGATCCATCCGGGGACGGGACGCGACGGGACGGGACGCGACGGGACGGGGGCGAGCGGCGGCAGGCCGAGCTGGAGGCACAAAGTTGGCGGTGGGCTGGACGAGGCGGGCCGGGCCCCGCTCCGCCCCGGCGCTCAGTGGGGCCAGGGCGCGGCCGGGAGCCGGGACAGGGCGGGCCGCAGGTGGCGGCTCTCGGCCCTGGCGAGGCGGCCCCGGGAGGAGAGCAGGCGGGGCCGGCGGCGGGGGGGG